GGCCCACCGCTCGCACCTGGCGCCGACCTTGGCACGCAGCCTGCACGGCGGCCACACGTCACATCAGCACGTGGCACACCCGGTCACACCAGCACACAGAATTGTATCATACACAGGGTCACCCCACACCACGCACACGTCACACTGTGGCACAGGTCACGCCAGCGCACAGTGTACTCTGAACTCAAAGGTCCCACACAACCTGGACGTCACACCAACCTTGTGCATACGCCACACACCACACACCCAGTCACAGTCCTATCCGCTCCGTTTCTCAGGAAATGACCGTGAAGTGTGCGGCAGGGCTCCCACGCTTCCGAGAACTCTCACAGGTCTCTCCTTCAGAATTCTCCCAGGTGCAGAGCACTTCCATGGCTCGGCTTAGCTGTGGGCCTACTGGGGCCTTCGGTGTGACAGCACTGTCCAGGAACACTGGATCCTGTTCCCAGCCAGGCCTCTGACCTTCTCCTGACCTGACCCCAGTGTCCCGAGATAGACTGCCAGCTCTGGCACCTTCACTCAAGCTAAAGGGCAGCCCCTGGGTGGGCACCAAAGGCAGAGGTTGTGGCTGCCTTCTCAGAGATGAGAGTCTGAACTCTCAGGGCATCACTGCCTGCTCCCCTCCTACATAAAGTCTCAACGGAGAACATGGAGACCGGACCAGGAACCCCAAATTTCCCAAAGGGTGTTCCTCCAGCTGCTGGATCCAGAAATGCTTGGGAGTGGTTCTGTGGTCAAGTCAAGTAAGTTGGAGAAACACTGCGTCCATTCTCCACCCTTCCCCCTTAGGAAACTCGTGGGCACTTACCATGATAAAGTGCATACCCATATCTGCCGGCGCAGGCGATGCCATCTCTCCATGCAGTAGAAACTGCCAGTGGGGCCCGCTGCAAGTGAGGAGTGGAGGGGCAAAGCTGGTACAGCAAAGAGGTGTGAGTTCCCTGAACTCCTTCCATACTATCTGAATTAAATACCATGTACATTTGTGTTATTTATCCAAAGAAATAAAAGTTTTCAACAAATGAAGGCCCTGAAAAGCCCTGCATAAAGAAACTGGTTTAACTTTATACATTCTAGTATCGTTTCTCAAACTTAATTAACCATTTTTGTTTGTTTGTTTTGCTTTGGAGATCACCTGTTTACATCAAGAAGAAACGCTTTGGAAGTCCTGAATTCTAGTGCAAAGTTCTCAATTCACAGAGGAGGAAGCAGAGGCCAAATAGGACACAGAATTTGCTCAAATTCACACAGTGAGGAAGCAGTGGGACCAGGCCAGAGCCCAGCACCTGGCCCCTCTTTCTCCTCACCCAGGCTCTGTGCCCAGGCACACACCAGGCCGCCCTCCCAACAGCCCAGGGTGCCCTCGGCCTCCTGTACTCCTCCGACCAGCAGCCCTGCTCATTGTGAATGTTTTTAACTTAGCCAGGAGAATGGGATAAAAGCCTTAGAAAATGCTTCTGTGGTTACTTTCTCATCAAGAAGCCTAAGCAGGGCCTGGAGCTAAGGCACAGAAATCAAGGACCCTGCAGACAAGTGGACAGAGCAGTAACAGGACACTGGTCTGAGCAGGGATAGGCTGGGTCCCCAACAATCCTGAGAAGCTGCAGTTCCCACGGGCACCATGCTCACACATTCACGTGCAGTTGCACACACAGACACACTCACACACGCTTGCCCTCAATGGACGTCCAGCCATTTGGGGGACAAATGGGGACACACTCGCCTCCCCCCAAAACAGCCTCCTCGTTCGTCTCCTGTCCCTAGGCGTCCACAGCACCAAGGAAGGAAGTGTGCAATTTAGCATCACCTCCACTAATGTCCTCTTATAGGTTCTGCTACATTTATCTCTCTGCCACCCACCAGGAAGGTGGGAACTGCAGCAGGAAGACAGGGGGTCTAGACCTCGCATCAGCAGCCCTGGATCTTATCCCAGGCTCACTGTTACGAGTCCTGTTCTTCTGAGCCTCAATTTCCTTGTCTGTAAAAGTCAGGTTATGAGTAATCCCAACCGCACCTTGAGAGGAAGACTGTGTAGGAGCAGAGAAAGTGCCCTAGAGACCTACATTTGACCTTAGTTTAGTCTCCTGAGACAAATTCCTTCCTCTTTCAATTTCTACGTCTGTAAAATGGGCCTAATGGTCCCCCTAGGCAGGGACCGTCTCTGCGCTACAATTCCTTTATTTGTGAAATGGACACTGGGCAGTCAGTCCTCTTCCTGCTTCAGAGCAAAGCATGTCCCCATGTCTCAGACCAGTCCATGTCCCACCACCTCTGACCCTGCTGGCCCAGGTTTCTAACCTGCCCACCCACAGGGCACTGGGCTACAGTCCACTCTGCAGCCAGAGAGATCGCTTTAAAAACAGTCAGTACCCTCCAGAGGTTTCCCACCAAACTGGAATATAATGCAAATTGCCCCGAGGCCCCGCCAGCTGCCCCACCCACCCCATACTGGCCCCCTCACTCATCCACCTCATTCCGTTCCTAGAACTGGTCAGCTTTTCTCACCTCAGGGACTTTGCTCAGCCTGTCCCCTCTGCCTGAAATGCTTGTCCCTCAGCTCCTGGCATGGAGGGCTCCTTCTAGCTACTCAAGTCTCAGATGAAATGTCACCTCCCTTGGGACAGGAGGGTCCACACAGGCAGAGACCCCCTGCGTGGTCCCCATGCACCCCCTTAAGCCACCCTGTGCTATTTTCTCCATCTCTCATCTCTCCATCTAATGTTTCCCTATTTCTCGATTTCTTTACCAGTTTGTTGCCTGCTTCTGCTCCAAAAACAGAAATTCTTGGTCAGCAGCAGTGGGCTGGAATGTTCCCAGAACAGTAAGGATGAGGGATGGAGAAGGAGACAGAGCAGAAGGCCGTACATGTCATTGGCAAGACTTCAGCTTTCCCTTTTATCAGAAGTAATACAGGGGACCCTTGAACAACGCAGGTTTAAACTGTATGGGTCCACTTATCAGCAGATTTTTTTCAATAAATATGTACTACAATACTATATCATCCTTGGTTGGTTGAATCCAAGGATGCAGAACCTGGCATATGGAGGGCAGACTGTAAAGTTTTAAGTGGATTTTCAGCTGCACAGGGAGTCAGTGCTTCTAACCCCCACATCGTCCAAGGGCCAACTGTACTAGATTATTTGTGAAATGGGCACTGGGCAATCAGTCCTCTTTCTGCTTCAAAGCAAAGTGTGCCCCCATGTCTCAGACCAGTCCGTGCCCCACTACCTCTGATCCTGCTGGTCCAAGCTACTAACCTGCCCCCCCACAGGGCGCTGGGCTACAGTCTGCTCAAAGCCCAGAGGCAGGCATCAAATTTTCCATTCACTCCTTTAGGGGGCCCTGGCACCTTCCCTGTTTCTCTTAGGCAGTCTCTGATTGCACCCCAGGAATTGGAGCCTTGATTTCTCTCTCCTGCTAGACTATAAATGTGGGTGCATGGTGGACCTAGGCTCTCTCACCTGAGTCCCCAGACTGATCTCACCTTGTCTGGCCATCTCATCACCAAGAGCAGGGCCTGGGTCTCATCAGTGCATACGTGGCAGCATCCAGCACGGGACCTGGCACACAGCAGGTGTTCAGCAGGAAATGGGTGAACAGATCTGGCACTGGGGAGAATTCCTTTTGATGAGCTGCACACCACCAGAGTCAGACCGCCCCGGGGTTCAAATCCCAGTACAACACTCGACTGTGATCCTGGGCAAGTCACTATTTAACTTTTCTCTACCCTTCATCTGAGGGGCCTTGCGCAGCCCGAGTTTAGGGTCGTGCTAAATGTATATGCTCAGTTGAGTTCACCTAATGATGTCTCTTTCTCTTCCACTGCCCAGTGTCTGCCTAGGGTCGCTCGGTGCAGTAGGGGACCTACC